AACCAAACAATGCACTAATCCATAGAATTGACATTGAGTCCTATCCATAGTTTGAATACCACCACACAATCAATGCCTATGTGAAAATTACCATATATAAATCTCCGTGTTTATGTTATTCATACTATCTATTCACATGCGCGATGTGTGTAATTTAAATAAAAAATATATATTTATTATATATATTGTGCAATAATATTAATTTCATTCTACAATCATTTTATTAACTAAATACTACCTAAAAGTGCAAAAATATATCAATGATCAAATATTCAAACACTTGATTTTTTTGACTTTTAAACATAAATATTAAATATTAACCCCAAAAAAAAATTTGATTCAAAAGGTAAAACTGTTATAAAAGCTAAAAATAAATAAAAAATAATGATAAAACACAAAAAGAAATATAAGAAAAAAAATACCACATGCAACGCCCGTGCATCTCCACTAGCAAGTTCAAATATCCACCATAGTTTTGAGATTTTGAGACATTTTCTTACTTATAATCTAGATATGTAGAATTTCCGATTTGAAATTTCCCTGGTATAATTCTACAAATGGAACAAGGACAACTATTATGGGGATAAGTATAGCTGATAGTTGGACAATGATGCACAACTCAAACAAACCAAGGGAAGAAATATTAGGATGTATTTGGTAATGTTGTCAGTTTTAAGTTTGTATAAGTTAAAGAAAATAAAAAATATGTTTCATTTATTTTTACAAAAACACAAAAAGAATTACTATCTTTGGTATACATATGTTTTTACAATAAATAAAAACAAAACAAGAAAGCATGGTTGGGGTGTGACTGGAAAGTGTTGCCAGAGGGGGAGGGGGAGAGGCAATGAAAACTAGTTTCCAAATTCGTGGCATTTTTGAGGCAATAAAAATAGCTACCAAACATGTTTCCATTCCGTTTTAAAAAACAGAAATGCTAACAAATATGCCCTTAATATTTTTGACAGTTTGATTGGACAAGGGAGGAAGAGTACAAAAATCAAAATAGTATAGAGTTGGCAATGTGGGTCACTCATTCAATGGAGAAGAATACAATGAAGAAGAATGCAAACCTATCCACATCCCAACCACCCATTCTAGTATAATCCACTCCAAATGTGATTAATATCTATACTATTGTAAAGCAAATGATTACCGTAGTGTAAACGAAATCGGCTCGTGTTGTAATTATTTGGAACGGTTTCTGTAATTGTTTGGAGTAGTTTTTACCTGTTTAACTGTCTCAATTCATAATTGTCAATCTAATTATTTTACTCGTGCACATATAGTATGTCATAGACTGGGCGCTTGTCATTCTCCGGAGAAGCCGACTTCTCAGGAGGATGACAAGCGCTTAGTATGTGACAAGTGGTATTTAAGCTAACCTAGGGGCACTGTGATGGGGACAGTATGTGAGACTTATACCAAGTACCTTTATTGTGGGTTCTACACCAAGGGCGGTATCCGTGCAGGACGAGTTTCCCATGGGTAGGGAAACAGACAAGCGTGGAGGCAGGAAAGGTAATATCCCCCTGGCCAAGGCATCATGGATTGGCGGGGATAGCATGTCATGTACCAACTCATTGGAGATGCTAATTTTACACCAAACACCTTGCAATCGCATTAATTTGTGAGCATCAAGGCAGGCAAAGTAGATCTCCTATCGCATCACCTGAGATGGTCCTTAGGTATAATGCACAGGGTATGCAGTATCACTCGTAGGGCTAACTTCTCGGGAGAATGACAAGCGCCCAATCCGTGACAATTGACTACTATATATATTTAAGGACATTTCATAAGATATGGTCATCAACTCGAATAAACCTCTCCTAGCATACTAAAGTTGATTAATGAATCAATTTTGTGTTCTTTCTTTTTTGTACGTTGTGGCATAGTGTTAAGCTAAATGAATCAAGTTATTTAAGTTTGACTCATATTCAATTCTTTAAATACTCGTTTAAAATCTCTATAGGTAAACAATTTAAATTTGAATAGATTTCGATGCACAACTAAAATTGAAGTCGATAACCGTAAATGCAGGAATAAAACTATTTTAGAAGTTGATTAAGCTACTCAAACTTAATTCGAAAAATAAACAAATCAAATTTATACACATGGTTTAAGTTCGTTAAATTTTCAAACTAAAATATAACAACTTTCCATTCAACTAGACTAGGCTCGTTTCTTCTTATTAATGGAGATTCTAAACATTTTCCAATACGGCACCTAGATACAAGACAATGTTTTGGTAAAGACAAATGCTACACTAAATTTAAAGTTAGTACAAACTAGGGGTAAAAAAATTTAGTAAAACTGATAAATCGATTTAATTCGGTTTAAATTGCTAGTTTGGTCTGATTTTTATTCTGGTTTTGATTATGAAAATAGTGGAACCATTCAAATTGGTCCAATTTTCAGTACCAAGGCTTTGATTGCGGTTCTGAACTAAACTGAATCATGATATATTTGTTTATTATTTTTTATATTTTTATTTGTAAAAATGAAAATATAAAAAGTTCACTATGAAATTGATAAACTGTAACCAACTTAACCAAATTAATTATTGTTAATTTGTTTACTAACATAAAATGTATATCATATTTATTATCATAAAATTTCTAGAATCGTTAAACCGAACCGAATCAAACCAATTTTTATGGTTCGGTTCTGCTCTGGTTCCACAATTTAATGATTCGGTTATGATTCTAATTTTTCTAGAACCAATTGCTACAGTTCGGCTCCTGATTTACTGTAAAATTGGACCAATCCGATCCGTGTGTACAAACTTTTCTTACTGAGTAATTGGAACTTGAAATAGAACCCAGTATAATACCATAAGAGCCATATGTTTAAAATAATTATTAAAAAAAAAATGTGTGTAAATTACACTCACCTCTCTTGAGAATTAAGAAAAGAATATAGTTAATTCTACACTTTTAACGTAATCATGTTATCCTCTCAAGGTTTTAATTTATTAGATTATTTTTCATCAATAATTCGTTAATCGTATAAATGAAAATAATAATAATAATATTATCATCACGTCCGTACTAAAATGTATATTTATATTTACCTATACCTATTTCAGTTTCTACAAATTATTAGTTTTACTTTTTGTGTCAAAAGTGCAGGGCTAACTCTATTTTCTCTAAATTTCAAGGGATGTGAGTATAATAATGAATGATTAAAAATGTATAATTATCTTATTATTTTTAATCATTAATACACTCTTATTAATTTAATTCCCCAGTTTTATTCTTAGGTGTGAGTTTAATGATTTATTTTTAATTTTTACAAAATAATTTGCAATTAGGATAAATGTTAGGGCTAAATGGCAATTAAAGAAAAAGGATGTCACATCCAAAACAAACTCTTGCCAGGAAGGGACGCAACATCACACGAGCTTCCAATTGGTTCACCTGCGTGTAAGGTGCTGAAGAAGTAGGAAAGTAAAATAAGGAATTGCTGTCATTGGGTGTATTGCGTCAATTGGTTTATCACTATGGCGGTGATGTTACGTTATAAATAGATGATAGGTAAAAGATGAGGGGATTAAAAAAAAAAAAAAAAAAAACAACTATTCATACCACCGAAAAAAAAGACTATTAACAACACTAATATATTAGAAATGTCAAAAAGAAAAAAAAAATCAGAAGGTATAGCCCACTGCGACATTATTAGTAGTATTATTAGAGCACCATTTTTAATATTTTTAATCATTTTTCAAACAAAAATTCTTGAGAGCACTAAAAAGGACACTAATCAGAAACATTTCGGGAAATTCGTTTCATAATACATATTATTTTCTTTTTGTTTTTATGATGTTCTAAATTTTCTTTGTTAAGGTTAGGGATGAAATCCCAATGTTTTTTTTATAAACATTTTTATGATTCAATCATGGTATTCAATGTCAAATTATTTTAATTGATTGATTTATTTATTTATTTGGAAAATTTTTTTTATTCTGTATAATATCTTGTTCTATTGTAGATTTCGGACACGATAGAAGCTTGATATTCCCTGCAAATCAAATAACTAAATTTTTATAGCGTAATCAATCAGTGAAAGTAATTAATTTTTTTGAAATTAAATTTTATATGAATTAATCATTTTTATCTTCCGATTGAAAATATTGTTTATGTTTCAATTGAGTTACATAAATTGAATCTAAATATTTTAAAGAAAGCATTGGTGAAAGATCCTTGATGCCTTAGCACCCTTTTTATAATCACCTTATTTTATCTTTTAATTAATTATTTTTCTCAAATTATTCAACCATTTTAAAAATTCAAAATCATATTTTTCTTTGCCGATTTTCTTTACTTTATTTGAGTGTTCGGTAATTATTTTGAACAAACTGATCATTGTGGATTCGACATCAGACTCACTGAGTTATATTACTTCGTGACATCCTGCGCTTGGGATTGTAATATAAAAGTCGCACCATATAATTTATTCAAAAATTTAAGTTCTATTCGTTTGTATAACATTACTAAATACCAAGTCTGTAAAATGATCGAATCGTGTCTAATGATGTTCCAAAATAAAACAGGAATAGGGCAAGGAATAGAAGATAATGTTGTAATTCAACTTCAGTCATGACAAACTATCCCTATAACAGTACTACCAGGGACTGGGACCGAATCCAAAATCGTAAACTTTAAAGGCTCGTGTTCGAATCTATATAAGAAACAAATTGAATTCAATTTTGTACCGTCCACAACTAACCAGAATGACATAACAACCTTGCAGCTTGATTGGCTTGGTTTTCAAATGCTGTTTTCTGACTTCTTTTTTTCATATTTTTTTGGACTCTAGTAGTTTTTATTTTTTATTTTTAAATATATTTTGAGGCCACTTCTTTCTGGTAAGTGCATTGAATGCCCACAATCAAAATCAAAGAGGATGGTAAATCCTAAACCTTAAATCCTAAATCCAAAATACTAAACCATAGTGGTCATTTGAAGACTTCTTGTCAGCAGTAGAAACATGAGAAACAATTGTAAAACTTGAATTCTAAAATAAATCTCAAGACACAGCTGCTGCAGATTCTAACCAAACTGAACCCTCAACTGTATGGAATCAAAACTACAAGAGATACTATAGACTATTGTAATGAAAGTTTCCACAGTGAAACCATATCTAGTAGAGTTTCACTCGTTCAGATTGACAATATTCTACAAAATTGTGAAACAAACAACACACAAGTACCTGCATCTAAAGTTCTAAAAAGCAGCTTTAATTTTGACCCCTGGTATTGGAGATGTTCTTCACCCTCTCCTTCGTCTGTCATTGCTGTCACTTTCACTTTTACTTTCATCGTCAGACCTCAATGACCCAGAATCTGGCTCGGAACCTGAATCATCAGAATCAGAACTCCTGGATTCCTTATCTGATTCAGAAACTGGTTTATGTTGTTGCATAATAAGACGTCACATATTCTTCAAGTACTCTTGCAAGTTCTCAGTAATACCACCAAGCCCAATAGACATGAAGAAATTAATGGAAAACCTTGTGTTCTTGGGATCATCTTTTGGGAAAATGGATTCAAATGAGTCCTGCATTGTGGGATCAGTAAGACGCTCAGTCAGCAAGTGAATGCCAAGGTGTTCTGACAATTCCTGTACCACAAACCAAAATAGGGTAAAGTTGCCAGCTTCTATAGAAATTAATAAATAAGTAGAGACATAAGAAGAAAACTGCTGAGTTTCTGAAACAAAATTAGCACTAATGCAGGTCAATCAACCAAAAAAAAAGGAAAATGAAAGCAACAACAAAACACAGATATCTCATGCACAATGCCCGCCATGGGACATGTATCAGTAGCGTAATCAATTTTTTTTTTTTTGGATAAATGTATCAGTAGCATAAGCCATAAAGGTGGCAAATAGGCAACATGGAGACAAAGGATATGCATAAGCCATGAAGGAATCAAGGAAAACCAAACAACTAATACTTATAGGGATTAAAACCCAAGTAGAACACGGTAAATGAAATAATTCATGTAGCCAACTTCAAAAGGTTAAGGTCAGGCTGAGCTGGGAACTAAAATCTGCAGAAGTTGCAATTCCATTCAAAAGAGACTCGTACTGGAAAAGTTAAAGAATAACATTTCATGGAGGGTAGGTACATGATCATTTCAAACCACATTCATAGGGACGATCAGGAACATTATTATTTCAACTATAATAATGGTATGAAACCAATTTATAGGCCCAAAAATTGAAATGTAAAAATCTCTGTATATCCAGTCAGGTACCCAAAAAAGAATCTTAACGAAAATATGGGAAGATGATGCAGTGTCCTCCTCAGTAAGACGTATGTAAGCTAAAACATGCCAAGGAAGAGCAAATGTCCCAAGTAAATGAGCAAAAAACTTTGCCACATTACGCAGCTTATTTGTCTCAAGCCGGTGAATCATAGAGTACTGCTGCACAAAGCATATCTCAAAATTTTCCTGGTGGAACTTGTTACTCATGCAGAATCGCAGCCCCAAAAGGCCATAATAATGGAGGTAAGTTCTCTCTTGACAGCAGCACTCCAACAGCATGATACAAAGTCCCATCGGCATAAGCCAGATCAAAGAGCTTGATAAGTGTCCATATTACTTTGAACTTGAAAATCTGCTGGTCGAAGTTTAGTGCAAAATGTTAATAAACACATCCAGAAGCCTTGGCAGGGAAAAACAGCTAGACATAAAATGAAACAGTTAATTATACCTAAAGTACTAGAAAAATAATTTTTTGTGATGACCCCGTCATGTAATATACTTTTAATTCTTTAATTTTGCATGTGCTTAGTGTGAATTTGAATGCTAATTAAGTGATTAATGTGGTTTTTGGATGCATGTCTGTCAATCGTAGGAATATCTATTGTGATTTATGTCATGATCCGAAATTGAAGGCCTTAATGGCGTCAGAAACCGAAATTGGTTCATGAATAGACTAATTGGAATTTTTAGAACCATTTGGCACGGTTAATTAAAAATTGATTTAGTTTGATAAATTACGTTGTGTTTGATTAGTCTAATGTTCTAATTAATGTATTAAGCCACTCTAGCTATATATGTGTGCCTTAAGCTCATTTTGAGCTAATTTCTCTTCATCTTGAGTTCACAAAATCTAAGGGAGAGCTCTAGAGAGCGAGAAAACTTCTACTTAGAGAGAGAAGAGCTTGTAGACTTGGAATTTTGCTCAAGGATTGAAGAATTAAGGGAGTCAACTCAAGTTTTTGCTAGAATTGTTGTTCTTGAAGACCTTAGGTGAGTTTTTGAACCTTGATTCATGAGTTTAAGTTGACAAATATGTGTATTCAAGAAGTTATGAGATTAATCACAAGAGAATGTCTAAACATGATGAATTTGAAGTCAATCCATACATGCATGCATGATTTTGAAGAGTTCTATCATTTTTTAACATAATTTTGCTATCTAAGCTTGAATTGAAGGTTATTTCATACATGCACTCAATAATTAAGTTGTTTTGAAGCTAATCTCCATGTTTTGTAAGCCTTGTTAAGGAAATTTGAAGCTAAATCATACATGCATGCACATAAGAGTGTAGAATCATCATTTTGATCATGAGTTTTATTGCCTATGTTGAGTTTAGAAGTTGAATTCTACATGCATCCATGAATCATGTTGTTTTGGAACTCAATTGCATATTTTTTAAGCTTTGGAAAAGAGTTTGGAGACAATTTTATACATGCATGGAAGTTTGGTTTCAAATTAAGTTCATACATATGTATTTCCAAAGGTTTGAGCCCAACATGTAAACTTTTGCACTTTAAACACATGATTTGAAGTTCAAACTATATTCTGGAAATTCCAGAATTTGGTCTAACCGCTCGAGCGATGAAGTCTTCGCTCGAGCGCATATTTCATGCATCCAGTAGTTTTGCAGACTTTACTAACCGCTCGAGTGACCAAATGGTGGCTCGAGCGAACTCAGTGTTTGTCGTTGGACCGCTCGAGCGACCAAGTGTTGGCTCGAGCTAAGGTTTTAAAAAGTGGCCGCAACCGTTACGTAACGCCGTTACATAACGATTTTGGCGGTTACCGCCACTCGTTACGGCCGCTTTTCCAGTGTGATTGAGATTCACAGGTGTGTCAGCCGTAGCAGCTGCGGTAGCGGTCGTAACAGTGCCATAACAGTTGTAATGGCTTGTTACGCACCGTTACGTAATGGTTCCAAACTATTTCTTTCGAAAAGAACACACAAAAAAAAGCTAAAAATGGGGAAAAAGGGATAGAGAGAAGAGGGAAGATAAAGATAGAAAATGAAGGAGCAAGAGATAGAGAGAGAGAGAAGAGGGAAGATGAAGAACATGTTATTGATTTGTTGAAGTTGTAAGACCTATGCTATTCTATTCAACTGCTATCACTAAACCATTTTGTTCATGTGTGTCTATCTATATATTGTTTGAAAATAATAATAATAATAAGTGTGGTCATTATTTATTTGGCTTGGTTAAAATATGTATATATATATATTTAGGCTCTTATTTATTCTCTTACTTTTGTCATTGTTTATCTTATATATAATAGTTAGTGATTGATTTTTTGTATAATATAAAGTCATTAATTATTAAAATAAAATGTAAAAAACTCAATTTATAGTGATTTAAAAAAATGAAATATATTGGATCATACTTAAAAATTTACAAAAATTGATCAATATTTATTTTTAACCCAATAAATATGATCATGGAAAAAAATATGAGTATCGGTAAGTTTTTTTCAAATTGTGCGAAAAATAAAAAAATCACGGTTCCGGTTACCGCAACCGTTACACTACGGCCTTTACATTCCGCAACCGCAACCGCGTTACCGCCACCGTTACAGCGACCGCAACCGCAACCGCTACCACTTTTCAGAACCTTGGCTCGAGCGCAATGCAAACCTATCCAGGACTTTTGCAGGTAGTGTAATCTGCTCGAGCAACCAAACGTTGGCTCAAGTGGTCAAGCCATTTTCAGCACATTTTGACATGTCCTTCTGTGTTCGTATTTTCATTCTCATCGTCTTCGGGGCATCCCTAGGCATGAATTATGACTCATTAAGGAACTAATAAGTGAGAAACCAACATGAATAACTGAATTAGAAATAAGAAGATGAATTATTTGATTCGAACTATGTGTTCCAATGTGTGTGCTTATGCGTAATGTGTAGGTTTGAACGTTGTAGAAGAACATCAACCTACTTAAGGTGAGTAATATCTTAGTAAAGATATTTTGTTAGATCATTAGATGTTATTTTCTTAACCGCTTTTAAGGTAAGTCTTGAAACTTATGCTTTCTGAAATATGAATGAGACTTCGAATGTTTCAATGTGACTTGAAACTTATGCTTTCTGAATACGAATGAGATTTCGAATGTTTCAATGTGACTTGAATTTGACTTGATAAAGATTTAAAGCATAATGGACCCAAGGTCGTTTTGTAATAATGGACCCAAGGTCATTTTGTATATAATGAACCTAAGGGCGTTTTGTATATGATGGACCTAAGGTCGTTTTGTAATGATGGACCCAAAGTCGTTTTATATATAATGGACTCAAGGTCGTTTTGTATATGAGTTAGACCTGAGGTCATTTTATATATGGATATATTAGACCTGAGGTCGTTTTGCTTTGATATAATCTACATGGATCTGATATGAATGGGAAGAGCATTTCAAATGATTAAATTATAAGTATGATTTTGTGTAATACGAATATGATCTTATTTAATATGAATCTCATTTATTAACCTTTTTACTCTGATGTTATTCACTGGGCTTTAGCTCACTTCGTATTTATATTTATATAGGCGAGCAGCTAGATGTCCAGCCTCAGCCCTAGTGAACCTGTGAAAGAACACCGAGTTTTGTGGAGTCAGCCCAGGATGCCTCACATATGAGGCTTTTGTTTCGTTTGACTTTTCAGTTCCTTTTCGTTGGTCACGTATGACCATGTCTGTAATTAAGCTTTGAGTTTCGTATGATAATGATCTTGTGAATGGTCTTGACTTCGTAATATCTTTTGTATATGAATGGATGTGAGTTCTGAACTAAATGAGATGTTTTTGATATGCCATATATGCACAGCTCATTAGACAAATTTATCATTTAGTTTCCGCTTCTAGCCCCAATATTAATTAAATATTTTTGTTAATTCTGTCTTTGAAGCCGCGTAATCCGGGATTACTAGCCGGTTACGGTCTAAACCTGTAGGGGCAGTTTCAGGTCGTGACATTTTTTTTGGCATTGGGCTTCTTTTCAATAAGAAGAATCAATGAGAAATGTTGATTCTCCCTAGCAAACCATCTGCTCATTCCTATCCTTAAAGAAAGACTAGAACTCTGAAAATAAAGTTAAAATTTCCAGGTAGATTCCAGTTTGAGGGATACAGTTTCTATGCACGGTAAGCTAATATTCTCATCTACATGAAAATTTATTGGGTACCGGTGGGGTATGTGGTAGCCTCACATCAATCACCAATTATCACCACCACCCCCCCAACCCAATCCATGTTAGCAAAACACCAACATAAATGTGATGGGCCCCACCAAGAAAACCAATCAATTCAACTAAGTCACCACCTAGCAATACACTACCAGGAAATCAAAAAATGTTCCATCTATAGGCCTTGCATACTGAAATACTTAACAAGATAATTTGAGAATAGCATATTAACAACTTTGCCACATACTATAAAAGCCATTAATTCTTGTGTGTGAGAGAGAGCATTGGTATGTATAGGCACATTTTGAATTAATTTTCAGACATCAACTATATGTAGGCATTTGGAACTTCAAATCTCACTGTAAAGTAGATTAGTCACACAACCAGAGACTATTCCAACCTCATGGTGAGGGATAGCCATAAAGCAAAACTAGATTTATTAGCTGGTTTTAAATACAAATGCTCAGTTTTTGCGACATTGTCCTTTGTTCAACCACTTATCCTAGGAAACATGAAGGGAGTCACCTACTTCACCTACTCTCCACCTACTCCTCACCTACTCCATACCTACTACACACTCACTTATTCTCTTCCCACATCCTCTCTTCTATATATAGGAATCATTGTAATATATCAACACAATCAATCAATAATATATCAATTTTAACATTATTTCTTCTTTTCCAGGACGTAATCGAGATTCGGGCTAATTCTGCAAAATATTGTTTTATCCAGATTTTCTCTTCCTGTCATCTGCTTTTATTATGCAAAATGCCCAGGTATATAGAGAATAACAAAGAGGATAGAAGAGAAAGAAAATGGAGGCATTTTGGAAATGATGTTTCTTCCTCACTTGAACACATTTTTTTAACTAAGCAGGACATTATTTACCTCAATACAATAAAATATCTTTAGATGCTCCCATCTTCTTCTTCTTCTTTTTTATTTTTTTATATTTTTTATCAGCAATCAGATGCTCCCATCTAACAGCACATAAATGTAAAGAAGCCTAATTAGATTGATGCATCAAGAAAACAAACATTCACTGTTCCTTGAAATTGTGTAGAAAGCCTTTCTAAGATTTGATGTACATGAAAGAAATATCTTTACCCCCACCAGCTCCAAATTTTCTATCCTTGTAATCGTCTTTGATTTTGTGTTTTCTAAACTCATGAGCACATGA